CACATCATTCTCCTAATGATGTGATCCCATTAATCAAATGACAACACATGTCTATGGTTAGGAAACATAACCATCTTTGATTAATGAGCTAGTCAAGTAGAGGCATACTAGTGACGTTTATGTTTGTCTATGTATTCACACATCTATCATGTTTCCGGTTAATACAATTCTAGCATGAATAATAAACATTTATCATGATATGAGGAAATAAATAATAACTTTATTATTGCCTCTAGGGCATATTTCCTTCATTTGTCACCTCCATAAACGAGAAACATATCCTTATTCCTTTTCAGGTATTTCAGGATGTTCTTAAACGCTGTCTAGTGATCCACTCCTGGATTACTTTGGTACCTCCCTGCTAAACTTATTGCTAAGCATACATCAGGTCTGGTACACAGCATTGCATACATGATAGAGCCTGTGGCTGAAGCATAGGGAACATATTTCATTTTCTCTCTATCTTCTGCTGTGGTCGGGCATTGAGTCTGACTCAACTTCACACCTTGCAATACAGGTAAGAACCCTTTCTTTGCCTGATCCATTTTGAACTTTTTCAAAACTTTATCAAGGTATGTGCATTGTGAAAGTCCAATTAAATGTCTTGATCTATCTCTATAGATCTTGATGCCCAATATGTAAGCAGCTTTACCGAGGTCTTTCATTGAAAAACTTTTATTTAAGTATCCCTTTATGCTATCCAGAAATTCTATATCATTTCCAATTAACAATATGTCATCTACATATAATATCAGAAATGCTACGGAGCTCCCACTCACTTTCTTGTAAATACAGGCTTCTTCAAAAGTCTGTATAAAACCATATGCTTTGATCACACTATCAAAACTTTTATTCCAACTCCGAGATGCTTGCACCAGTCCATAAATGGATCGCTGGAGCTTCCACACTTTGTTAGCACCTTTTGGATCGACAAAACCTTCCGGTTGCATCATATACAACTCTTCTTCCAGAAATCATCGTGCACACAAAAATAGTTCACTGTGTAGTAAAAAAAAGGTAGACATGTATTCTTTCAAAGGCAAAAGAAAATACAGGAAAATAGAAAAAAATGAAAACATCATGGAATCTTTCCAAAACTGGCCAAAACTGATAGAAGGTTCCACAAACATGTCTATACAAGCTTCCAAAAAACGCAAAATCTCTAGCTAACACAATTACTGGGCCGGTGCACCATGTCGATCTCCATAGGCAAGCATAAGTTATGTCTCAGATTAAGCGCTTTTAGCAATTGCTGTAGGAGAGGCCCAGGAGCAGATGGACCGTGTGGCCTAGCATTGTAGGCGTCAATTCCTAGCACAATCAGATGCACATGAAGGTTGAGGCCTAGTGCCCCAGCTGGCACTAGTGATATACAACTGATGTATTTCCTGTAAAAATTGTATCAACCAAGTTCTCATTGAGGTGTACTTGTCTTTCAGTGTTGTGGATAAATCCCCAAGCTTGCTTTTCTAGAAGAGCCTGATTAAAAGTTCTCATGTCTCTCAAACCCATGCCTCCCATAGTTTTCTGAAGAATCTTTTTGTCCCAAGCAAGCTAGGGCATCTTTCTTTTACCCTTCTTCACTCCCCACATGTAGGATCTTCACCGGCACACAACCTTGCAAACAATGGAGACCGCTGTAGCACATTGATGTCACTGTGACTTCTGAGACATTGGCATGCTAAAGAAAGAGTGACAAATCTTGTGGTCTTCATGCAAGTGCTTCAATATTGATGTGGGAATTTTATGATGGCCCTAGTATTTCCTTTGTTCGGTATATGGGCAGTTCTTACATTTTTAGTGCATGCAATCTTGGGATCCGAGCATACCTAGAAACGCTCTTGATTCTCTAAGTACCATGAGCCTTGTTGTGTCTTTGGCATTTTGTTCTCCGAAGTTCCTGGGTTCAACACCTTGACCATTGCGGTTGAAAATCTAACAATTGCCTTTAGGCTTGTGCTCTCAGATATCTAAAGATATTAATCCCATGAATTTGCGGTTGCGCCATACACAAGTATGCTCATAGAAGCCATGCACTCCTGGAGACCAAAAAACTGTATCTTCAACAACTTGAAGTAAACATCATAACACCCGACACCTTGCATGATATGCAAGAACAATGGTCGTTGTATCCGGAACCAACATAAAATAAGTGTTAGAATAGCGCATCAGGGGCAAATTAGTCCTCCAGAACATGCCCATGTGCGCAATGTCGGTTCAACGCTTGATGTCCCAACGTTGAACTCTTGAAGTTGAGAACATGCTCATCCACACGGTTTGTTACTTTAATAATTGCCATCATGTCCGGTCCATAGCCATCTTCCTCATACGATGAAGGCAAATCCATGAATTCAACTTAGAAGTACTCCTCTTCATAATCCATTGTGTTTGCGTCACAGGAAAAAAAGACAATGCCTAGAAATTTCGCTACGGCATTTGACCAACCAGTTGCCATGCACGGCCTCATCCATGGATGCCGTCAACTGGAGTGTAGGGTACGTGGGCTATGAATGAATCTGCCGGAGTGTGGCGGTGGCATAGAACTAGGCGAGTAGACGCATGGATGGAGCGGTAGAGGTCTGTTAATGCCTGGTCAGTAGTGGGAATGGGGGTACTGGGGCATCGTTGTTCTCAAGGAGCCGATGAGGAGGGCAGGATTGTGAAAATATGCAGGCTCTGGATGAGGTCTGGGGTAGGTTCGGTGTGTCGGAGTCCGCTGTGGCGGAAGTATGGACTCCCCCAAAGCTCACTCGATCTGGGTCGGTCTGTGGGATTTCGAACCCCCGGACCGATTCGTTCCAATTTGGTTGTCCACGGTTGATGCCTAAAAGTGTCCAAACAACCCGGTTCAAACATTTGCGAGCGTTTGTAGTCTAAAGCTAAGCTCATGCTTCATAGGATAGCGTTTGTTTTCTGTTTAAGTAAGTGCTTGCATGCGGTCAATGTGACACACCCATGCAGCTAGATAGTGGGACGGTGCGCCATGCGAGCACAAGTTATTTCTCAAAACAAGAGAATTTTAGCATTTGAGGTAGGAAGGACAAGGAGAAGATGGACCGTGTGGCCTAGCATTGTAGTCGTTGTTTCCTAGCCCAATCTGATGTACCTAAAGGCGAAGGCCTAGTGCCCCAGCTGGCACTAGTGCCATACAACTGACACATTTTCTATAAAAACTGTATCAACCAAGTTCTCATTGGGGTACTACTTCTCCATCAGTAGTCGTGCCACAAGACTATCCAGATTCTGGATTAATCTCCATGCTTGCTTGGCTAGAAGAGCCCGATTATAAGTTCTCATGTCTCTAAAACCCATGCCTCCCATAGATTTGGAAGGATCTTCTTGTCCAAAGCGAGCTAGGCCATCTTTCTTTTAACCTTCCCGACTTCCCACATGTAGAATCTTAGCCCGCACACAACACTGCTAACAATGGAGACCAATGCAACACGTTGGTGTCATTGTGACTTGTGAGACCCTGGCATGCCAAACAAAGATTGTCAAATCCCAAAATCTTCTGATGCAAATGCTTCAATAATGACGGTGGGAGTTTTATTATGGCCCTAGTATTTCCTTTGTTGAGTACACGAGTAGTTCTTCCATTTTGTGTGCATGCAATCTTTGTCTCCAGAAGTGTTAGAATAACACATCAGGGGCAAAGTAGTCCTCGTACAGATAAACATGCCCATGTGACTACCATCGATTCAACGCTTGATGTCCAAACATGAAGTTGACAACATGCTCCTCCGCACGCTTTATTTCTTCAAGAATCGCCATCATCGCCTCCATTTGATACCCATCTTCCTCATCTAACGAAGGCAAATCCATGAATTCAACCTAGAAGTACTCCTCGTCAGAATCCATTGTGTTTGTGTCAAAGCAAAAAACAACAACACCAAGAAATTTCGCTATGGCATTTGACCGACCAGTTGTCGTGCACTGCCTCCGCAATGGATGTCGTCGACAGGGGCGGAGGGTACATGGGCTATGGCCAAATCCAGCGGATTGCAGTAGCGGCATAGGCCTAGGCGAGCAGACGCATGTGTAGAGCGGCAGAGGTCTGTCAAGGCATGGTCAGTGTCAGTTGGGAATATGCAGGCTCTGGGTGAGGTTCAGGGTGTTGGAGTCCGCGGTGGCGGGAGTCTGGACTCCCCAACTCCCTCGATTTGGGGCATGTATGTGGGATTTCAAACACCCGGACCGACCCGTTCCAATTTGGTGGTCTGTGGTTGGTGTCTAAAAGTCTCCGAACATTTGCGACCGTTTTGGTGTCCGCGTTGAAGATGCCCTTACGAGTAGAACATGCATCATCTCAAAGAGAGTCATGAAACCAAGTTTCAAAGAAAACATCGTGGAAACCATGTTTGGAAGTTTCAAAAAAATCTGGAAAAATGGGATATTAAGAGGGTGTTGTTCTATTGACATGCGAAATTCCAAGTTCAAACACATTACCATTTATGAGCTATAAAAAGAACACATTCAGATATTAATCTTGATGTTTACTGTTTGGCAATATTCAATGTTGATTTTGTTTTTCTTCTGTACCTCATAAACTGCAATGTGTTTGAACTTGGGAATTTCACATGCTAATAGAACATCACCCTACTATATCGCTTGGTTTTTTAAGAATTTTTTTGAGACTTTAATACATAGTTTCCGCATGGTTTTCATTGGTTTCCACCCGAACTTTGTTTTCATGTGATAGTCTATCCTTCTTCAAAAGAAAAATAAAAGGTAGAAGCTGCCACGCATGCACAGCCCGGAGATACAACCACATTGTTAGACAACTTCAACATACTTTTATTCCACGTACATATGCATGCACATATATATGCATGGCTGGGACAGTATTAATTTTAACCACACAACACCGCACACTTATACGATTACCTAGTGAACACTGTTGCATGCATGCATGCCTGCAGGAAACTCTAGCATGAAACATGCACGAGACTGAGATATAAGATGAACTGGAACGCAAACTTGCAAAGAGCACAGATGATCGATCAGCGCCGGCAGGTGTAGTTTGATTCGCATGGAATCTTGCACTGGTTGAGGAGGGCGACGACGTCGACGTGGATCAGCCCGTGGAGGACGACCACGTCACAGAGGCACGCGGCAGCGCCCAGGCCGGCCAACTCGCCCAGCAGCTGGCAGCACGGTTCATACGGCGACACGCCGAGGCTGACAATCGGCACGCTCAGCAGGCTCAAGCACACGCCCAGATCCGGGCACGAGCCACCGCTGGTTGATGGTGGTGGCGGTGACGGCGGCGGTGGGGGCGGCGGGCATGACGGAGGTGGTGGTGACGGCGGTGGGGTCTGGCAGTTGTATCCGCCGCAACCGTGCACGATGGAGACCGTCAGTGCCATGGCAAGGAGGAGGAGGACGAGCTTGCACGAGGGCGTCATTGCGAGAGCTTTGATTGAGGGGAAGCTAGTGAGACGTGTATGTGATTGTGGTGCTGTATATGTCTTTGGGTTGTTGTGGGGTGGTATTTATAGCCGGATTGTACATGATGCAAGAGGGTGTGTTACGATCGAATTTGACTCTAGCCAACTTAAACCACAAAGCACGTACGTGTACCCTCATGGATCGATGCTCTGACCCTAGGTACCTTTTTTTACAACAGGCCACGCTGCTTAAGTACAGGTGCCCTCATGGCCGGCACTAGCTCTCATTATTGTGAACATACAGTACAGCTGTACACGCATGCATGTGCAGAGCGAGCGATAAGCTAAAGCGGGGCCAAGTCAACTATATGCTCCATAGCATAGCTTTGGCTCCTCTCCTCATACGTGGCACAAAATTGGTAGTAGCCTCCCCCGGATAGGATTCTAACAATCCGGGACTAGCTACTATAGATGTGATTTGGTATAATTTGATTTGGATTTTCCTTGATCGATGCACACAGGTGGACTAATTAGGTAGGTACGCATGTAGCGAACCAACCTATGGGCTATGGTTAGATGGTTAGAGAGACTGTGGTATACCCAGCCCACCAGGTTTAAATCTTGGTGCTCGCATTTATTCCTACGATGACTTCGTAAATTTCAAGATGATAAGCCGGCATCTGCTTAGTCTTTCGGAGGTGCTCATAGGGGTAGGATGTGCGTGCAGGGGCGGACGCACGTTAAAAACCGTGGGGGCAGATGCTCCCACTCGATTTTGACATACGCTTTATATACTGGTCCTGCCTATGTGAGTGTGCCCCCGCTTGGCCCAATACATTTACCCCCACTCAGCCCAGTTATTTTTTTATTTTCAAAGCTACATTACGCCAAATTTGTAAATGCAGCCCATCATCAAAGAACTAGCAGACTTAAGAGATACTAGGCTACACCCAATATTTTAATCGTTATGTCTCGACCATTTCGAGACTCCTCGTCACGTCTGTGATCTCATCCAGGACTCCGAACAAACTTCGGTACATTAAAACACATAAACTCATAATACTGATCGTCATCAAACGTTAAGCGTGCGGACACTACGGGTTCGAGAACTATGTAGACATGATCGAGACTCACTTCCGGTCAATAACCAATAGCGGAACTTGGATGCTCATATTAGTTCCTCATATTCTACGAAGATCTTTATCGGTCAAACCGCATAACAATATACGCTGTTCCCTTTGTCATCGGTATGTTACTTGCCTGAGATTTGATCGTTGGTATCTCAATACCTAGTTCAATCTCATTACCGGCAAGTCTCTTTACTCGTTTCGTAATACTTCATCCCGCAACTAACTCATTAGTTATGATGCTTGCAAGGCTTATAGTGATGAGTATTACCAAGAGGGCCCAGAGATACCTCTCCGAAACACGGAGTGATAAATCCTAATCTTGATCTATGCCAACCCAACAAACACCTTCGGAGACACCTGTAGAGCACCTTTATAATCACCCATTTACGTTGTGACGGTTGGTAGCGCACAAAATGTTCTTCCGGTATTCGGGAGTTGTGTAATCTCATAGTCTGAGGAACTTCTATAAGTCATGAAGAAAGTAGTAGCAATGAAACTGAAACGATCATAATGCTAAACTAACAGATGGGTCATGTCCATCACATCATTATCCCGTTCATCAAATGACAACACATGTCTATGGTTAGGAAACATAACCATCTTTGATTAACGAGCTAGTCAAGTAGAGGCATACTAGCACTACAAGAAATATGTCAACTTGCGACCTTGACTATTGGTCACTAAATGGTCATTATTTTCCATTTGTGACCTTTTTGTGGCCAAAAACAGATGGTCAAAAGCTGGCGGTCGTAAACTGAAATTAACGACCTTCTCTATGAGAAGGTCGTAGATATTTACGACCAAAATATGCCTACTGTTTTGTTTTGGTCACTAGCAACCTCCACAGGCCACGTAGGCATCCAACATGGTAAGCTGATGTGGCACAAGAATCAGCCCGGTCCATTTCGGTGCTTTAGATGGGCCGAGCCCATTAATTCATCCTTTTTAATATATATTTTCTGTTAATTTTCGCTAGCTACATGGGCTTGGGCCATTGATTCGGCCTTTTTTGCTTTCTGAGATACGACCTTTTCACATTCTATATAATTTTGGTTTTCGGGTTTTCTTTTTTTGTTTTGTTACATTCAATATTCAGATTATTGTACTCAACTGGGTTTTCGATTCAGGTTTTAAATTTTCACAACTTGTAACTCAATGATATACCAAGCAGAGAACGCATTAAAAATATATTCAAATAACAACCAAATCACCGATATACCAAACAAGTTTATTACATTCCACCAATCACAATATAACCATACAATATTACACCAATCACAGTATAGCACTCTATAGATAAAACGCTCAACAAGTACACGCACATCTCCAACAGCTTAGCGCCTTGAACCTGCAAAACATCACATCGAACCACATATTAACGATCAAATCAATTCACCCCTTGACGGCAATAAAAAACTGTGCTCATGTATGAACGAAAATAAAATAAACAATCTTTGAGGCCATAGCATGTGCTACAAAAATCTTAACAAATGCATAGATATCCACACGGAGCACATCCTACATGCACCCAGCATCAGGCATATGTTCAAGAAGATAAGTAATTTGAGATGGAAACAAGTACATCTAACAATCTAACATGTGTAGTAGCACCAACAAAAAGAGCGAGACATGGAAGAATTTACAAGGACAGTAACCTGGGAGTCCAATTACATGTACATGAGCTACTGCTGCTAGTGTATATAGAACCAATCAAGCTGCTGGTGTAGGAGCAGAGCATGAGTCCAACAGAGCCACATAGGAGCAAACAACAGAGCCACATAGGAGCAAACAACAGATTAAGCACTGCTCCTAACCAACTTAGCAAATCCAGAGCAACCCCATACCACCAGAGCATCACAGGAGCACATATATAAATCAAGTACACATGGGCAGCTACTGACAGACCCTAGAACCGCATGAATTTATCACCAGAGAGCTCCAGTAGGAGTTGATGCTTGGTTACAACATCTAGCAGCAACTAGCAGAGCCCCACATCCAACCCAAATCATGGCCAAGGCCATGCATGAGCTATATCAGAGAAGAAGGAACGGGGAGGAGCTCACCAAAGGAAGGTTGTAGCCATAGCAGAGGCTCAACCACACCACGGCTGTGGTGCGACCATCACCACATCGAGGAGAGGGTTTGGAAGCCGCCGAAGCACCACCGCGGCGACCAGGGAAAGCGCTGGGCATAGTGGCGCCACCCCAGGGACATCACCGCACGGACATCACCGGCCTCGCCCTGTTTCAAGACTCGATCAATTCTGAAGAAACCACTTCGTCGTCAGACACATACATACATACAAGATGCAAAAGAAGAAGAAACATAGCAGGGACCTGGTCGATCATGAGATAGTGTTCATATCATTAGGAAGAAATAGGCCATTGTATAGCTCTCATAAACAGATCTGCTACTATGCACAACACAAGCACCCACTTGCACTTGGTATATTTCTGTATCTAGGACACCCAACACTCACAACACTTGGGCTAGTCTAATGTATAGACTTGTTTGCAATAGGAGCCAATGGAACTGAAACACAAGTAGCACATGAACAAACAGCGAAAGAAATAGAAGGACGACCTTGTGTGGTGGCCGGGGTGGACGAGGGTGTCCTCCTAGTCAGCTCAGGCGTCCTCCTGCACCAAATCAAACAGAAAAATCTTGAAGCATGTCGAATAACTAAACGTACGTGTATATATATATAATATAGAAGCAATAGAAGCACATATATATCCTATTTCTTCCACAAAGTGTGTATATAGATAGGTCAGATTTTTGAATGCATTGTTGTTGTAAAAAACAAATATGTTGTTGAGGAATTTGACTAGATTTTAGATATGTTAAGCAGAGGCAAGATTTTAGATATGTTAAGCAGAGGCAAGATATGCTCCAGCAGCCTGACCACTGATGTCAGTTAGTTTCAGCAAACATCAAATTTTTTGCTTGCTTGGTTTTATTATCATCAGCCTGCAACTCTGCATTAAGGCTTTCCTTTTGTTTTTGGTGTTGTTTGCTATGTCAGGTTGAAATGAAGATGGCAACCAGACCAACTTAAAACCAACTATATACATGGTGTTATTTCAAGTGTAAGCAGACTGAAAATCTGACATTGTTCGTCATCACACCGTATTGTGCTGCAAGTAAACTGTGTGTCTAGTTCTTGTGAAGTGTGTTAATGTTGCTCCTACCTGACTAGCTCCTAGAGCTTTGGATTCACATGATGCGTTGTGTACTCGCCGTGAAAAGATCAGTGCATGATTATTGATCAACATAACAACTCTATGTACTCCCTCTGATCCGAATTATGTTGTAGTAGTTGCGTCAATTATTTCAGATAGGAGGGAGTAACAGTTCTTTTTGAAAAGAAAAGAAAAACCTATGCAACAGTTGTTGTGATGTCCTGTGAGCTCTGCTCTGAACAAGTAACCATCAACAGACTGCAGAACCTGTGTGACAGGGATCGCGCATCTCACAATCCGGCACCAGTTACTAACTACCAGCATCAGCAGAAAACCAATAGCTGCACGTGTAACTCACTGCCCTCACGGGCAAAAGCACGAACAAATTCGGAGCGCGGAAAGGCTCATGCGTTTCTGCACGGGAAAATCGGCCGGAGAAAGGTACTGCTTTATGGTTGGGTAGCGAGGAGGGGAGGGGGCGAGGCACTCACGCAGTGGTCGCGATAGAGACCCACTGCGTCGTGGGCGGGGTGAGGTACGCCGACGCGCTGTAGACGATGCCGCTTCCCTGGCTCCGGCACGGCCGCGCCGCGCCCGTTCCTAGGGGCCGCGGCCTCAGCCGCAGAGCGGCGCATCCCCTGGATACACATAGATGTTAGATCACCCACCGGCGCGGTGGGTAAGCGAATCACACGGACGGAAGGAG